GACTTTTGGAAATTATACCTGCAAGTGTGGAAAAGTCGTGAAAAACGTTTCAACGAAACTTTTTAGCTTAGGCTCAAAACTAATTTTTAAAGATCTTTGATTAAATTCATTTTCTGATCTCGACAAGCACAAAATTGAAATTCATTTGGGAAGTGTTGCACACTTTTTGCAAAATCTATTCCACTTTGGTCGAAATGAAGGTGAAATATTTGATGTGTAATGTTTCGGACTAAAGCTCATTTCTAAGGATATTTATGAAATTCATTTGAGACGTGAATTTTTCTCATAATCCAATCCTTTTCGATGAAATACTCGAGGCAACGAATATTTTCTTACAAACGGTTTCCAACTATTTTTTAAGCCCCACGTGAGCTTCTCAACGAAGCAACTATGTTAAATTGCCGAAAAATGGTTGCATAAAAGTTTTTTTGTTTACTTTATAGATTTTTGGTAAAAATTCATGTGAAACGTGTTTCACACTTAACGTAAAAAGTCTCCCCCCTTCTTGGATGAAACATATGCTATGTTTCGGGTGAAAGCTCATTTGCAAAGATCTTTATGAAAATTTGGTCCGAGCAAAGCTGTGTAGTTCCCGCTAGTATATGCATACAGAAGAATTGTATCTTTTAAAATTATCCTATTTAAACTTAGCCAAGCACATCTGTTGGGCGCAATCAAGTAAACAATTATGGCTATGTGGATCGCTACCATCGTGTAGTTATTTCCCATTGGAGCTTATACCTATTCCATACAAAACTGTATAGCTCTTCAGCAAGTCGGACTCGGCTGGCCAAAAATATTAAAAGATAGTGCGGGCAAATTGTGCAATTTTAAGGCGTGTCGTGTATAAAAATTAATGTGGCAAAGACACTTGAATACTCGTATTCGCATTCCTATTCACATTCGCATTCACATTCATGTGAGCCTTTGTTATGACTGACCTGTCAATCGAGTGCTGCAGAAATATAACTTACAATCCATTTAATACAAATAACTCGCTGGGCTATGGGCTAGAAGGCAGCAGCGGCAATGCGACAAAGTTGGCAATGCAATAGTTTTGTTGGCAAGTGTAGAAGCAGCAGCAACGGGAAAATACAAAAAAGTGTAGCATACGCGCAGGCTGCATCGTTTTAGGGACAGCCGCCGCTGCCGTGAGGCTAAAGCAATGTAAAAGATGAACACAGAAATGCAGCAATAAAATTGCAACAGCATGAGATATAAACGTTGCAGCAACAACGAAAGCAACACACACAAACACACATACAAACACACATACAAACACACACACAAACAAACTGTACACACACAAAGACAAAGTTAGAGAGACATTCATTCAGATAAAAAGAGTCGAGTTACACCTACAAGTCAGCATGAGGCGCGGATTTGGTTAGGTAAGTTTGCTGGCGTGGCGAAGGGGCTGGGTGGGTGGGTTGTGGGGCAGTGTGAGGTGAGAGGTGCTCTGGCCATCTATCTATCTCTGTCTATCTCTGTCTGGCACTGCATTAGCAGCCAGCTGTGAACGAAATAAACGTAAAAATATACGTAAAAATATTTTTAGTGTGAACAATTCCGCAAAAGCGAGAAGCGAAAACTGAAATGCTGAGAAAACTTTTCGCAAGGCATTACACACGAACGCACACAGAAAGAGACACACGCACACACACACAACCACACAAGCACACATATAAAGCTGACAAGATAACAGACACACACATACACACACACACACACACACACACACACATATATATGCACACAATAAGTCGTGTTTAGTTAGGAAATGCTATGTGTGCCAAAAAAAGGGCAGCCAAAGGCAGTGCTTTCATGTGTATGTGTATGTGTGCGTGTATGTGTGTGAGTGAGTCAGGTGCTGGTTTTGCTGTCAGTTTTGTAAACAAACAAAGACAAAGGGATTTTAAAAATAATAGTCTAGGAATGCAATTTAAATATATCGAATATATATATTTAACGCCTTTGTTCCCCTAATGCAGTCAATATGTTCTATTCAGGGATTAAACAAAACAATGCAACAACAAAGCACAGTATATATATATATATATATAGTACAAGCTAGCTTGCCATTTCGCGCCTAATTCTGTATACATCAAAAAGGTAACATACACACCGCCAACACTTTAGATAGCACCTCTGCCGTGTGCCTTTCCCAGTTCCACATGATGAAAAATGTACCTTTAAATAACTTTTGTGTTAATTGGCCGATAATTGTAAGATTTTTGGTGCCATGGAAATATGTGCATATTTATATATATAAAATAAAACGAATATGTTTATATAAAAAAGCCCACATAACGAGTCAGTTGTCTCGAGAACTTAAAGCTTCTGATGACCATGAACAGATCGACTTGGCTGTTGATGATCATTCGGTCTGAATTTGTCCATTATATACATTATGCTTGTATTGTACTCTATTCTATTCAAAAGTAGTTCGTTTAGTTTTAAACACAATTCTGATAGTCTATAGCTGACAGCGTAAATGCTTTCAATAGATTGAAAAATCTACAAAAACCAAAAGCAAGCAGACGTGCTCACAAAGATAGTGTCCCACATGGGAACAACTGGCATCCAGCTCAGAACAGAAGCAGCTGCTAGACGAGCTTTGAATATGGTTTTAAGCACAAATAAGTTGAGAGTTTATGTACGGCTGACTCTGAAGTTCGTATAAGTGTGATACACGAACTGCTTGTGGCCCATAAAAAAAGCGTTGCATACTTTTGTGGGCTGGCTGAGTGTGTGGTTTTGATTTTAGCTGTTGGCCCGCACTTGACACTTTTGTTACGGCTTTACGGCCATTTTGCATGCCACAACTCGGTGGCAGCCTCGCAAACTAGTTGTTGCTGTTGCTTTTGTCTGCGTCTGAAATTAACAGCATTTATTTCATTGCATTTTTATGCGCCTCATTGCGGACGACATTGTCAACGTCGTCGTCGTCGTTGTCGTTGTCGTCATTGTCGTCGCTCGAGTCTGTGCCTGGGAAAACAAAGGCAACTTATTTTTATGCTATGCGCGTCAGCCGCAGAGGCAATAGACAGAGACAGAGAGAGCGAGATAAAAAGTGAGCGAGAGGGAGAGAGAGAGATGAAGTACAGTCAACGCCCCTCTTCACCCAAATATGCAGGGTTAAGTTTCATTTTTATGCGCTTTTGTTAGCAGCAGCATCTCTTTCTGGCCATTTTTAGTTGTTGTTGTTGTTGTTGTGGTTGTTGTTGTTGTTGCCGTTGGCAACTGTCATGCAAAGTTCGAGTCTAGAGTTGACCTGAAATGTGAAAAGTGTGAGCTGTTTGGGCGTGTTGTTGTGTTATATTATGTTTTGTGTGTGTGTGTGTGTGTCGGTGTCTTCATTATTCGCTATTAGCCATGGCAATGCCGATTACTCAAATTGAACAGCCAACTGGCCACGCCCACAGTTCTGCTGCTATCCAGCTTTGCCAGAGTCATCAAAGTGTCGACTGTCAGCTTAGTGTTGGATATCATGCAAATTGCACAACTGTTCCACACTCTAACACAAACACACAAACACACACATATACAAACACATTCGTAGCAAATGAATTGTCAACAGAGAGAAATGTAATCCATTATGCCAGATGGATGCATCTACATACAACTGATCAATCTGAAAGCCATGTCAGTCCGTCAATTTAGCTTGGGTTTCGTGCAATATACAAATGTTTTGATTGTCATTCCCACAATTAATGTACTAAAGTATTTTATTTGTAGTCATCTATAAATACTAGTGATAGTCCGTCGACACTTTCAAATTTCCATTACAAATATTCGTATTGATATATAAATACGCATATCCATATTGAACAGGAACAAGAGAAAAATAGAGAACAAGAGAGAGAGAGAGAGAAAGTAAGAGAGGGAGAGAGAGAGAGGGAGGAACAGATTAACAGCTGACATAAATCTCTTTTAATTGCCAACAAAACTTGTTTAGATAATACTTAAACCATGTAAGTCCTCTTGAATTCATGAGAATCGCGTAGTAGGGCAGTCAAATAAAAATATTATACGTACAAATATACACAAATGCATACATACTCACACACATACCTACATTCATTATAAATTAACATCCATAGATGATGTCCACTGGATCGTTCACATATATTCAAAAATACAGCTTTTATAACAAGCCAACAACACCAATAATGAACCGTAAAGACCTTATTGAATTCATGAGAATCGCATAGAAAGGTACCATAAAAGAAGATGTTATTTTATTTAAATATGCAGCACAGCGAAAAGCGAACGTGATCAGCGCTTGGTGCTAGAGGTCATACATGCATACATACAAATATGTATACATTCTCACATATATACATACACATGTGCATACATACACGTAAATATATATATATACATAAAATCATGCACACATACAACCTATTCCCTAACTTATTAAGCTAGGCACATATTATCGTCCAAAAGATGAAGTCTAATCGACTAATAGTATTTTCCAGAAGGGGATCCGAGAGAAAATAGAAACAGGAGCAAGATAAGCTTATCAGCAGTCGTAATCTGCTAATCTAAGCATTTGACTGTCGGAATACCCGACAACCCGACCAGACATAGTATCAGCTCTTGGGGCTAACAAGCTGACATAAAAATGTTGTTAAAATTAGAGCTGACTGAAGTTAGAAATAATTTTGAATGAAATTAATAGACTTTGCGAGAATTGTCGCAAATTTTTCGTAATACTTTTTATAGTTTTTGTGTCTCTTTGTTGTTTTTGTTGATTATTTAAAGAAATATTATAAAGCATATTAAAAAACTTATGGAAAAGTTTTGAAAAAAAAAAACTTGTGAAACTTAAAAGTTTGGCACTAAAAAGCAATAGCAGTCAAGTGCAGCCAAAAGGTGAAGCTTCAGCGGTACCAACTGCAGTAAAAAAAGCAGCAACAGCAGCAGCAACAACAACAACAGCAGCAACAACAGCAGCAACAACAGCAGCAACAACAGCAGCAACAGCAACAACAGCAACAACAACAACAGCAGCTGTAAGAGCAACAACAACAACAACAACGACAACATGGGAAAAAAGAGCTCGAAATTGAAACAGGATACCATCGATCGTTTAACAACCGACACATACTGTGAGTATACACCCATCGATCAAGAATATTCACAATATTATAATAATATTTTCGGGGGCCTAAAATAATTATTTGATTGCCATTTTTATTTTGCACAAAATTTATAGCTCGCATCAATCAAAATAAACAATTGGAATGCTACACAAATCTTGTAGCACTTGTGGCACTTAAGAAGCTCTGTGGAAAAGAAAAACCATTTATTTAGCTAATTTGCCGAATTTTCCAGTGCCTATTCAAATGGCCTGGCACTCAATGCTTGACTAAGGAAACGCATAGACCTTACCTTGGCTGCTTGGCTCAATCCAAACAATGTTGATTGAGTTGAGTTGCCTGCCGCCTGTCAAGTGCTTATATTTTATATATATTTTTTGTTACTCTGCCGAACCGCGTTAAGAGTTCGCCCATGTTTCACAGTCTTTTGAGGCATTTATCTATTAGAGCCGTGGGCAGGACCAAGGCACAAACAAAAGATCCGAATCGCTGTGCATTATGTAAAAGCGTGCAGTCGGATGTTGCCACAACAACGCCAACAAGGCAAATTTCACTTTGTGTCCGCTTATAATTCGCAACTAGTTAAAGAGCCGACTTAGTCAAGTTTGCTGGCAGAGTGCAGTGTGAGGGTTGCCAGGACAGCTGTTTGTGCTGGATAATTCCAATTCAACCAACTTATTATGCTAATGAGTCCTGTTGCTCCTGCTGTTGCTGCCACGGATAAGCTGGGTCTTGTCTCATTTTTTTTTAAATACCCTGTAACCATAAAATGAACGTAAAGAGGATTTAATGCGCAAACAGTGAAATGCTTGCCAAGTTTCATTAATAGGCTTAAGAGTTGTCAAACAAGAGCCAAGGACTGATGGACGCATAGGAATGAATATATAAATCTGGCATATGTCTGTCGGTTCGACTTGTACAGTCCAGTGTAGAGGACATATCAAAGCTGCGCCGCAGTTTTAAATAGAATCTTCTTGCTTGCTTTATTTGTTTATAAGTACTTTATTTTTATTTCTAGTTTTATTCTCTGTGGGCTGCTTAAAAATGCAAGTCACCAAGTTTGCGCCTAAAAACTTTGTTGACTAATTGCTTTTTAAAGTATTTTCGTATTTCGTGCTCCGCTGCTGCTGCTGCTGCTGCCTTTTGCGGTCCAAGCGAGGAAGGCGACAGACGGGAACATAAATAATTACGCCGCCGGGGGGCATTCGGTGCACCTGGTTGGGCTTCAGCCAGAGTAGCTGCTGGCGCCCTCAAAGTGTTGACAGATTGCTGCCAAGTTGCCAGTTCTTAATGTCCTGGTCCAAGCAATTTGTCTTGGGCCCCTTGAGTCGTGCCTGCCCCTCGCTCCAGTGTTCTTGCTTTCCTTAAAAAAAATAAGACACACACACACACAAAATTTCTTGAGTTCCATTTTACACTTTGCTATGCAGCTCTATAATCTGTCCCATACAAATACTTAAAGCTGGGTATATATGGCTGGCTGATAAATATTTCATTTAATAGAGCTAGAAACGGCTTTGGCAAATGAAGAAGAAGCTAAATAAGTTTAAGCCGTGCTGTGTGCGGGCTTCTTGGAGCTTTTGTCTTTTGTTCGGCAAACTCAAATGCAATCAAATGCAGTTCTGGCCAAATTTCTTGGAACATAACTTTCTTATAAGCTGGCCACGCACTTGGCTTAAAGTTTGCTGCGCAAAACTTTGGCCCAAGACATCATTCGAAAATTTCAAATTACTGTCTGCACCTGATAGCAGCTGAAACAGCAGCAACCACAACAACAACAACAACAAAAACGAACAAAATTTTAGTTATTCGCCAAACAAATGAACTAGAAGTCAATTTATGAACTTTGTGGGACAACGGGTCGTATGCGCGATATGGAAAAGTTTCAGCCCTGGACGCGTTATCGTGCTGTTCATTGTATTTGCTGGCTGGGCAATCAATTGGGAATTACACAAATACATATTGTGCTCACATATAGTACATACCATATATTTTTCTGCATATCTTTGGCTGCAAGGGGCAACGTAGGGGCAGAGAGCCCCACGAATGAATAAATAAATAGCTGGGAATTTGATTAGTTTCGGATGGGTTTCGAAAATCGAATGACCCCTAGCAATAAAGTGCAAATCCCAAAATTGTGTGTATAAAATAGATACAAATTACGGTCAACGCAGTGACGGGCAGGGCAGGGCAGGGCAGCAATCGGTAAGGGGTCAGCGTTGGGTCAGCCGTAGCCACAATCTTCCATAAATAATACGTATGTATGTGTTTGTTGTGCGTACGTCTGTGTGTGTTTGTCTGTCTACCTGTCTATCTATCTGTCTGTCTGTTTGTCAGTTTCTCTGTTTGTCTGTCTGCTTGTCCGTCATGGTCTACAGGTGTTTGTCTTGGGCCATGTTTTACAAGCCTGCGTATTAACAAGTTTAATTGATTTTATAATTGTTCCACAAACAAAGCGACAGGCGCAAAGCACATTGACACACACCCACACCTACAGATGTGTGTACAATTTGTCAAGAAGACAACAACATGGTCATTAGTTGGCCGAACTACGATTTTATCTAACATATATTGGGCATTTGTACAATGATTGCCATTGCTTATTTGGATTGCAGTTGAATCAAGATTGGGCGCCTAATAGCCAGGCTTAGCCAGGGGATTTGAGGCCTATGTTAATATAAAGTAAAAAACATGTGCAGATGCCTTGCGCCAGATACAGCATATGCCCTGGAACTTGCTTTGAGTACAGAGTGGAGAGAGGTTTTTGAATAACGCTGCCTTCGGTAATAAATGAATCAAACTGGGTGCAAACTGGGAGTAATATACAGATGGCAGATGGAATTAAAAGAAAAATGAATTTACTTTTTATTACTAAATGGAGCCAAAAATTGAATCACTGTTTAAGGCAAAGCGAATTTGAGCACTTGATTTAATTGATATGACATATAAATCTGAACAATGAATCAAAAACGGATCAATGCGTAATGAATTATGGCTAGCCCCTGTTATAAACCAGCTCTGCAGCTGGGTTGATGTTTAAATTTGTTGCATTGTGTCTGGTGCACTTAATTTTCATTCTGTTACCATCACAAGCCAAATGTTTGCTTTTGACATCGCCTGCAACTTGAACTAATTTATATGCCATCAATGGCAGCCAACAATTGTTGATATTTAGCTCAAACTTAATTGGTCTAAATTTGCAAGGCTGCAAACATTAAATTGAAACTGGCCTATGCTATTTTTAAAATTTGAATAATTTTCATACGTTGTTCTAAATGCAATGGTCGAGTTTATATTATTTGCTGCACTTCAGTTTGATAGCTCTCAGCAATTAATAAAATGTGTCACACCTCGTCCGCATCGCTTAATTTGATTTTGTTTTATATATTTATTTGAAAAATTTGTTGGTCCTGGTTTAATTCTATCATAAGCTTTAAATATCGAGCTGTGTTACATAATATTTAAAAAAATTATGTGCAATCTGTAGTGTGAATAGATTGTACCTTAATCGTTTTGCAACACTTGTGCATAAAAGCCTTTACGCCTTTAAGCTCAGGTCTCACAATCCTAAACTGAGGCTGTGTTTGACATTTATGCTCAAAAGTTTTCTGAAGCAATTTGGTTTTTATTAATCTTTTGCACGGCCGACACTGAAAATATTGCAAGCCTTATATATGTTCTGAAAGCTGTTGCGCGTTAATATTGACCTCTACCCTAAATCGGGATTAACCATCCGTAGGTTGATAAGCTAAATGGTTGGAGCTCAAGGCATATAAGCTCTTAGGCTGAGTAAGATTCGATTTTATTTTTTATTTAAACTAAATTTTCTTCATTTTCTCTCTTCTGCTGTTTTCTTGTGCAACTGATTTGGTTAAAATATTGGAGTTTTATGTTCAGAGGGGTTTGGTTCAAGCCTGCTTTGGTCTCAATGAAATATGCCAAACTCTCTACCCTCCGTCGGAAACTTATTGTGACACACTGTTTTCGACTGTACTGTACTTTTGATTCAGTTAAAGTTGTCTTTAAAACTGGTAACACACCTGGCGAAGCGGTTAAAGCGTTCACCGCGACACGGCAGAAGCAAAAAAAAGACACAAATGTTGCCCAATAGTAAAATGAATGGAGATACAAGTATTACAAAAAATAAGCATAAACCGAATCTGAAACGTTTCCAGCCTTTACACAGACAAAATGCAATTAAAATCGCGTTGTAAGCACACATATTGATGGCGGCGATTACACAAATATTTCATGTAGCCGCTGCCCATGCCCGTATATCTCGTACATGATACATTCCCGTATATCTATAGATATGTACGGCCGTATGCCCAGGAGTGGGGAGTGTGCGTGTGTGAGCGTGTGTATTACGAGGCATGGCAATCAGAAATGCAGCGCGGCTCTCAGTTTCGCATGGGGCGCGGTTCTATTTGAATGCCAGCGACAATTGCCGCGGAATTTTCAATGCCCCATCAAGTGTGCAGCATGCGCCCGCCTGGGATTGGTTCCGGGTGGCGCACGTAGTCCATGCGCCTGGCATCCGCCTGGCCGCCCCAGCCCAGACTTGAGCTCTGCCAGTCAGACAATATGCATGAGTATCAATCGGAAGAGTTATTTCAACTATGCCACAACATGCCTCGCACTTAACATCAACAAATTTCATATACCAGAGGTTACAGTACTTATTGGCATAGAACTAAGTTTATGTTTTTCTTTTTTTGTGGTGCATTAACAAAATACTCTATGATTCAGAAAGATTCCACATGCAATGCTCATGGCAACGGTATTTGTATTCCAACTAGGGGGATTCAAGCTAATTTTTGCACAATTGCTAAAACCACATTTTAATTTTTAATTAACAATAATTGACTTTGGAAAATGACTAAATATAATCTTAGTCTTCTCTCTTCCAACTGCGATGCATTTTCCAAAATGTGCCTAAGGTAACTTTAATGCATTTTACATCTGAGTGAAACTTTTAATTTGAGCCGAGCCTTGAACCAAATCTCAATGCCAGGCCATTGAGACAGAGGCAAGGCATAAGAGACTTCAAAGTCAATTGGTTTCTTTTCACAGGAGAGTTGGTTCGCGCTGTGAACCCAACCAGAGAAAATATTGTTTGGACTGGCAGCCCTGACTTTGTGACAAATATTTGAAAATTATCTTATCGGCTGGTAAACAACAAAAGTGTTCTCTCCACACGCTCGGCTGGAATTTTCCAAAGCGAAACATGATAGTAGACATCTCTGATCCCATAGAGTATATGTTTATTCTTGATCAAGTTAAGCAGCAGTTATAGCCATATTTGTCTGTCTGTCTATCTCAGTTAAAAGTTATATGTACCTTATATCTCAAAGCTGCTTTGGAAACTTTCAATAAGACTTCGAATTGTGCGTAAGTCATATTCATGTAGTTGCTTTAGTAGGAATCTCTTTTAAATTTAGATTAATTTAGTTAATATATAATATTATATATTTACTGTCCCATCAAATAGCTTAAGAATCTAACATATTAGCACATACCGACGGAATTTTGGCCGCGTGGGTTTTGATTGGGTTAATAATATAAGCATTGCAGTTGACCAATGTTAGCTGCCATTAATTCATTCATGGTTTTCCTTTATGGTTTTTTTATATAATTTTTGTTGAAACAAACCCTAACACATTAAATAAGCAAATATTAAAGCTGACGAGACCCACTGAAGTGGAGCCGGCCCGGCGTCTTCTCTTTGACGCACAGACGAACTCCCTCATAGATTTCCGGAAGAGTATCTTCTGTACGGCATCGACAAGCGATGTGCAATGCATGATGATTTTTATTTTTAAAAGCGTACTTCGAATAAAAGCATGACTTGGGAAGCATATAAAAGGATATTGTATGGCAACCATTTGGCGGTGACAGTGGCGCAACTTTATCGACTGACAGCGACAGTCGGCGGTGGCAACAAGTCGTATGAGCAATATGCGCATTATTTACAATCCACACAAAACGCACACACATCGGTTCGGTAAATGCTGTTGTATTTTTACATGCCACACGTCAATAATAGACGCAATACCAGCGGACACAAAGCCCTGCGGAATAGATAGACGGGATGAATGTGAACGAGTTGTGGGTAGCTTACGCTCTCCTTAGCCTCTCCACTTTCCACATTGCGCCGGGCGCGCGCTATCGATTACCAATCAATTCCGTATCAGCTTTGGCAATTGTTGATTTTATTGCGTTGACGACGCCCCTGGGCCGGTGCTGGGATAGCGGCCAGAAGGGGTTGCTCACTGCACCACATAATTAATTAAAACTCAAACGTAAAAATCTGCTGCTTTTGCCATCAAAATGGAAAATTACAAGGTGGGCAGCAAGAAGCGAGCAGCGAGCAGCAGACAACTTCAATTTCTTTATTGACTGTGAACCAAACCTTAAACCTAGCCAAACCTAAGCCTAAACGAAACCAAACAACCCAAGTCCTTTCCTTTGGGCTGAAACTGAGCATTATTTAAGCTAACTTTGGAAAATGAGAAACATGAGCCACGAGGCAGTCGTATACATGGGCCAGCGGGAGGTCGCTGCTTCAAACGGGTGCTAACAATAATTAAAATGTTTTGTTTGTTTTGATTGTTTTGTCAACCACAAGACTGTCATGCGAATCCCTTGGCAAGCTCCAATTAATCACTTGCCTGGCAAGGTGGGCCAAGTTTGCAGTTCGAGCCCCCGTGAAGACAATATGTGTATTTTTGAATTCGAAAAGTATTTTTTTTTTGTTTAGTTAATAATAATAACAATGCCAATGGTAATGGCATTTGTGGATGGAGTGAATTATATATGGATGTATATTATGATATTGATATGGATATATAGTAAGATATTGAATATTAATATTGAGCTTGTAATTGAGACCTGGTTTCACACATGTGAATCACCAGGTTTTTCGAATCGAATCGCCCAGAACGTTTATGAGGCTTGCCGATGGTCACAGATGCGGCATTAAAGATGAACCACAATGGCATGAAAAATGACAGTGGTCGGCTTTTGGGCAGCCAGTTGAGCGTGCAAAGCAGTCAATACTCTAAGCCTCTGCCTCGCTGCTCTGCTCTGGTGCTCTGTTGCTCTGTGGCTGCGGTAGCGACCTCCCCCTGGGAGCCAGGCTGTGGACATTGGCCCCGGCCCCGGGCCCCGTTCCTGGCTCCTGCTTCGGCTCTTAAAAGCAATTCCAATGTGTGTAATTTTGCGTGAATTTATGTTTTGGTCTTAAACTTTGCTGCCGCAAAATCCCTCACTTGCTCCCAGCACTTCTCACTAGCCAGAGCTTGTGGGCGGGTCGGCGTAACATGTGCGTCATTCACACGCCCATAACGGTCACAGTGGGAGCTGGCCGGCCCGGCCGGGGATCGGGAGACCGTAGCTTAAACGTTTCATAAACGGCCATTAGGCCACGGTGATGGCAACCATGGCCGAAAATAATAATAATAAGAAAAACAAAAAAAAAAAAAAAAAAATAGAAAAAACAACCAGCCAGTATATAGAAATTGTAATGCATAGAGGTCAAAATTTGTTTGTCTTGGGCGTGGCCACTAGACAATGAGTAAAATGTAAGTACACACGCGTGCATCAGCTCCTCCGGCATAGCTCATAGGTAAGGGGCTGACGGGCTACGGACATGTTTCTGTAGAAGTAACACATGTGGCTTATTTTCAATTGTTTATGTGTGGAGTCTTTTAAGGAAAGAAAGTCAGCTTGGGTCCGTATACCTATTTAGTCAGGGATGAATTATGAACAAAATGAATACCTTGGCATTAACAAAAGTCATCAAAATGAACTTAATTAAAACTATCTTCAATATTAGGAATCGGCAATTGTTGCTCTGACTCAGAGAAAATCAACCCGAAATTGCTCTAAAATTTAGAAAAAGTGCGAAAATTTATGTGGAAAGCATGAATTGTTTTCTAAAAAGCAGAAACTTATTTGTAATATGTGGAAGAATGTTTTAGAAATTAAATTTATTTTAATATTCAGAATCAGAAATGATTTGTGGCTGAAAAATTGTTTAAGGATTAGATTCGACTTTTCTTGATTCAACTCATCCGGTTTGAGGTTCCTGACAAACAATTTTCTTTAAGAATAATTAAAACCTGATTTGAAACAATTCCGAGTCAAACTAATATAAATGATATAAAACGCGTTCTATGTGTGTTTAAATGTTACTAATCTCAGCTTCGATTTTTTGAATTGGCATCGCCAAAGCGTAATCGTCTAAGCCCAAGAAATGTTGGGGAACATGCAATACCCGAGCTATATGTCTGACAAACTTTTAGCATTAGCCAAATATTACGATCGGACCTCCGATTTGCAGTGCAACAATCGGAGCTCTGGTGCATAAGTGCATACATTTTAATATTAAGATATTGATTTGAAGTTCCTGTCAACAAATGTCTACTTTCGTTTCCTATTTCACATGATATTACGTATTGGTATTAAGTATATGTGGATATCTGTTCTTTGCCCATCCGCATACTCTATACATTAAATGTTCAAGCATTTTAATAGACATAATTTTTCCGTTTCGATTTCAGTTACAGAAAAAGAAATTCGTCAATGGTGAGTATGGAAATTGGAAATGAGCGTAAAATTAATAAATTATGCGTTCTAATTGTAAACATTTGCCAAACACAATTTTAGGCACAAAGGATTTCTAAAAGACTGTCCGAATGGTTTACTCACTGAGCAAGTAGGTAGCACACACGCACACACACACACACACACACATACACACACAGACATGCACACTAAGCACATGTTTAAGTTGATTCAATTCATTCAAGTCATACAGTTAATTAAGTTAATCTTCTCAATATGTGAACACTAATTTCTTAAAACAGCAACGGATCCAACAGCAACCAGAGTAACAGCAACAACAACAGCAGCAGCAACAACCACAGCAGTTGCTGCAGGATGTATAGATTCGCCCATTCCCTGGAGCCCTAGAGGCACATCCTGCTACCAAAATGAATGACAGGCCATTTCCAATGTGTTGACGGCAACAGTTGTTGTTGCTGTCTCTTTCGCTTTCACTGTTGTTGTTGTTGTTCTTGCTGCTGTCGACTGCTGTTCATATTAAAATTTATTAATGCGCGCCTCATTGAAAGACAACTTGAAATTCTCACACACACACACACACAGAGACACGAACACGAACACCTTATTGAGCCACACCCGCAACGTCCTAATTGTTTCTCATCTCTCTGCCAGGGTTTTATCAAAATCTACAAACAATTTTTCCCACAAGGCGATCCCAGTAAATTTGCATCGCTTGTGTTTCGTGTCTTCGACGAGAACAATGTGAGTATTAAGGCCATCAGCTCATGTCCTTGTGGCTGTACAGCTGCCAACCTGCCACCCCGCCACCCCACCATTCCGCCAACCCGCCATTCCGCCCTCCTGCAGCCATCACACAACAGTCAGCCAGTCAGGCAGTCAGCCTGCCAAGCAGTCGCTTTGACATTGATGAATTTGTACGCAACTCGAGCGCAAAAGTTGACGATTTAGGCCAATTAGCCCAAAATACTTCGAACAGTAGAGTGAGGCACGAATGAGGCACGTGTATGTGTGTGTGTATAAATACCCTGTAAAGCGTTCTAAGGTTCAATATTCAACATATATTTGAAATCTGAAATTAATTCAAATCGAATTATGAGTATGATTTATTCCGAATAATAGAAACCTGGGTCGATGTAACAAGTGCAAATGCTCAACGTTCTTTTTATACATTTAATCTTCTTCGTTTCTTTGATCGACCAGTGCTGGAAAACGCATTCTTGAAGAACTTTTGTGCTCATAGTCCGATATTTATAAGACTTGCAGGGCTTAGATATGACATCTGAGTGTATTTATATACCACAGCGCCAAGCTATATTTATACAATTTTATTTGTACTCTTTGGTTAAACGGGAAGATACGAAAAAATTTAAATATTATGGATGTGTGCCTACTATAGTAGAACCTAAATACTTTAATCGAATTTCTCTAACTCTTGTAATCTCCGAGTTGTTTCAAAATTTAATATTTATTCGTATTATCGAAAGGGCGAAGATGTTGAAATATATGATATTTGATTAAGTATGATATATAGGAATATTTTTGTAGCTTATGCAACCAAAGAATATACAGTCAAGGGATACGCTTCCTTATTCAAGAGATACAATATTCAAAAACTATATAAAAAATAAAAGAAAGTGTGGACTTTACTTCTTTTGGACACAACCAAAAACTTTTCATTATTAATAGAAGAAGTAGAAAAAGAAAGCTTTAAAAAATCTAACAGTCTGAGCGTCAGGTCGCGTTAGTTTGGATTAGATCTAGAAGCGAGTCGTAGCTGTTATCCTGTGTGCAAGTAGCGCTCATAGAGAATTTATTAGCAAGTTAGTCATAATACCCTTGCTTTGAGGGCAAACCCGCTGGAGACTCATAAAGATTTATTTATGACTTGTGGTTAAGACGGCGGCGGGGGCTAACGCGGTGGCTTTGGCGATGGCGATGCCGTCTTCGATGGCGCCCTAAACTTGTTAGCTGTCTGGGGTCTGCACTGATTTGCTCTGCTGTCGTTTCTCCTTCTGTTTCGCTTCTTTCTTTTGTATTTTGTTTCTGTTTGTGCTCCCCAGGATGGGTCAATCGAGTTCGAAGAGTTCATACGCGCCTTATCCGTTACATCGAAGGGTAACCTGGACGAGAAATTGCAGTGTAAGTATTTTGCTTCTGCCACGTCATGGAGTGAGAGCAATCATTCTGATGCCTGCCGGACTGTGGATACGGCCTCCAATTAATGCCGATTGGCATATTCCATTTGCTCTTTATCTCTGTAGGGGCCTTCCGTCTCTACGATGTGGACAATGACGGCTACATAACGCGCGAGGAAATGTATAACATTGTGGATGCAATCTATCAGATGGTGGTAAATACGATTCCCCCTCCATTTATTCATTCCATTTTGGTTTGGTCTTAACCCAGCTTTTGTCATATGTTGATATTGTTGGTAATTGAGCAACTTGATGGTATTATTTATGTAGGGCCAGCAGCCGCAGTCGGAGGATGAAAACACGCCGCAGAAGCGAGTGGACAAGATATTCGATCAGATGGATAAGAATCATGATGGAAAATTAACATTAGAAGAATTTCGTGAGGGTAGTAAAGCTGATCCACGTATAGTTCAGGCGTTAAGTTTAGGTGGTGGTTAAACAAATCAATAGTAACGCGCAATAACAACTCTAACAAAAAGAACAACAACAACAAAACATAGAAAAACGCAGCTAAAGCTATAAACAAAAAAAAAACAACTTCAACACCGCTTCTGGTTTTTGGTTACCATTATACACTCTCTCACAGAGAACTAAAACATATATACTTATATATACATAAATCAATGAATTACTAAAAATACAAAATCTTTAAAGCAATCAGAAATCAGACTCGCCCAAATCTTGCAAAAAATAAAAAACAACATCAAAAAAAGGAAAGAAAAGAAATCATTTTTTTTCTCGATTTCGCGCGTCGATTAACATTCAAAATGATAATAATTTTTTGATATATAAGAGTACGAAAAAGCAAAATGATGAAAATGCAATTAGAAAAAAAATATATATATGTAAATATTTCCACATATATATATGTATTTACAAATATATGTATGTGCATATGTATGCATACATACATATGCGTACTTACAAGATATGGCTAAAATCGAACCGAAATCGTGGCGTAAGTAGAACGCAGTTCATAGCGATAAAAACTTAAAGTAAATTAAAAAACAAAAAAAAACGAAGAAAACATAACAAGTTTATTGAGAGTAACGTAAATCAATATTTGAGCATACACCAATTATTAGTAAACAATATAAAAATCATAAAAAAAAAATAAATAAATAAAAGAAAAAACAACAACAATCACACAAGAAAACGAAATGCAAACTAGCGCAGCCTTCGAGACATTTATAAAAATTAATGAAATTTAATATAAAATATTTAAAAGTAATTGTTGATACACAAAAGCAAGAAACCAAATGGATTAAACTTAATACCACAAATGCTTATACATATATATATATATATATATATATATATATATATATATTTATATATATATATATATATATATATATATATATACAGCTCATATGAATATGCAGCATAAAGCAGCAAAATCAGCAGCAGCAGCAACAACAACAATAAGAAATTAATTAATTAATTAACAAAACCAGGCATTAATCAATGACAAGTGCAAAAGCCGCGCAAAACTGAACATAATTTTTTCAACGAGGCACACACACACAGACACACACACACTCACCCAAACACACACAAACATAGACACGCACAAGAGATGGAAGCGCAATATTTTATTTGCTTTTTGGAAATTGAACTTATTGATTTGCGCTTTTATACCTAAGTTAACGTAAATTTGACAATAGACGCCTCAAAAAAATATATATACAGTTTTTTATATAAAAAAAAAAAATAAATAAAAATAAAAAAGTCAAATGGAAACTAAATAAGTTAACGCACAAACCTTCAACAAACCAAACAACAAATAAAAGCCGAGTAAATAGCAGCACGAAAATGATACAACAGCCACAGAATATGCTACAAAAACAACAACAACAACAGCAACAACAACAACAACAACAATAGCAACAACAACAACAATAGCAACAGCTACAGCAACAAGAACAACTACAATAATAGTCAGCTCTCTCTCACATCTATCTTTCTGTGTAACTAAAAGTCCCGTTTGAGAGCCCCAAAAACAGATCCATCATGCGATTTAATTTCTATTCTATATGCGGTTCAGCTTTATTATTGCATTAATTTAATAACCCAGTTAATATTTTATTACAATCTATTTATATATATTTATATACACACATATATATATATCTATCTATATACTTGAATACATAGTTGCTACTTCTTATGGCTAATCATGCACACATACACACACAGACAGACTCAATTATTTTATAAACATAAACAGATTCACAGCAAAGCCCCGAAATGACGTACATAGTATATACAAATATATGTATGCCTATAATTATAGTGGGTCGACACATGCTTAAGCACTTCAAGCCAAACAATATGACCATACTCATATACCTATGCTCATATGCCATACCCATTATCACATATATATACATAGTATATAATACCATATAGCATATACCATATCCCATATATCGAACTTTTGGTCATGGCTCACACGCATTCTTATTGTTTATTTTGCTACTTTTGTGGCCTTGACTTACAATTTGTCCGAACACTTCGAAATTTTGTATCGGCACCTGCATCGAATCTATATATATTTCAAAATATTTATATTATTCAGTCTTATGTGCTTATCGGCATTAATAATCGTATAAAGTTTTCTATGCAATTGCCTCAATACTTTCCTATTTCATTTACTTTTTATTACAATTCTTTTCGACCTAGTAAAAGTGCACGCCAAACCAAGCAATTTGAACACAAAAATTATACCATAAATAAGAATGAAACAAGAATTAGATGTATAAATAGAGAAACACTGTCGCCTAAATTCAAAAAGCTATAAACTTAAATCAAAAAAATAACTTAGATATACATATACACACACATACATATATATCCATATAGATATATATATCTATATACATATACATATATGTATATATATTTGTATGCATATAGCTATATACCTACCTATATACTGACACACGCCAATATATATATATATATATATATATATATATATATATATATATATATATATATATATATTACTTATAGTAAGCACAACAAGAAAGAAACAAAACAAACGCTTCTAAGAACCTCACTGAAATTCTTCGAAAAACAAGAAATAATTATATACTAACATTTAAATAAATAAAATACACACACACAACAAACACACGATTATATTAATAAAAACAAAAAAAAAAAAACAAAGGATATAAAAACTTAATCAATAATTAAATAATTCGAAAGTGATATAGCTGACAAAAACAAATGTGTCTGTAGTTTAGTAGTTAAACGTAACAAAAATTGGGAAAAAAAGAAATATATAAAAACTAAAAAAAATTAACAAATATATGAGAACGAAAGAAAAACTTATTTTCAATTTTTTTTTTTCGAACACAAAGACGCATAAAATATTTATAAAAAAAAGGTGTAAATATCACTTAAGAACATGAAGCCACGCAATCACTGTCACACACACTCACACATACTGACGAGAAAATACACACACACACATAGATAAACTAAGGCTTGGACAAGAGCCTAGCCCAGAACTACAAAATAAGTTTGTTAACACCAAATATGACGGGTCTTAAGTAAACAGTAAGTAAGTTATTTTTTTTTTTTTGGCATCAAGCAAGGCATTAAAGTCAATTGTAATACAAAGAATGAGTAAAACATAGTTAAAATACGAAATGAAAAACAAATACAAAGAAAATACTCATAAAAATTAAATAGAGAAAAAAAAACGTACTTAATAATAATTTTGCAATGCGCGGACTCATATTTCAGCCGCGGTTGAAAACACACGAATGTCAAGTTAAACGTTTCACAAGCAATATTTTACAACAATTATATATGTATATATATATACATACATATGGGGAATGATAATTATATATATACATATACATATAAATATACAAGCAAGCATAAGCAAATAATATACATACATAGATACGAGCTCTTAAAGTGTACATCACGATTGGCATATTAAAAAAATTAAAAAAAAAAAAAAAATCAAATATTGTAATAAATTGTTTTTTTGTGCAATGTCTGAGCCAAGCAACATTTACATTAAACAATAATAAAACAAATATATTATATAAAAAATGAAATAGAGGGAAGGCGAAGACAAAGTCGAAGAAGTTAAAAAAAAAAACACATACGACACATTTTTAAATATACTCTTTAGCAGAACTCGAATCTGATTTCTTTGCTAAAAAAAAAAAAGTTTAAAATACAAAACTAGAAATTTAATGAAGCAAGCGATACCAAACAAAATTTCAGAAAAGATGAAAAACAAAAAAAAAACAACAAAAACAAAAACAATAAAACGATTCCCTTTCGTTTTGATTTCACTTTTTGGTATAACTATTTACTGTTATTTATTATTACAATGATTATTATGTATACACATACTTATATACATACTAACTTATAAACCACAACAATGAAAAAAACAAAAACAATGCAAATTCTTTTGCCATCTTTTTTTTTTTTTAAGTAAAGAAGAAGAAAACAAAAACAAACAAAATCCAAACGGAAGGAGAACATTTATCTTGTTACTGTCAGAAATATTACTTACTTCAAATAAACATTTTAAAATGATATGCCAAATCGGTGTCGAGTACTTTTTACCGTGATTAACTTAAGTGCCCCAGCCATTAAGTCCATAAAAAATGCATAAAAGGTAAGTCCAACTAACAAAACACACAGCTCCAACCCTCAACCCCAACCCCAACCCTCACCTCCACCCTCACCTTTGCATTTCGCCACAAATAGTAAGCACTTACCACAAAAGACCGCTGCGAAATGAACAGCTGCATTGGGGGCCACTTACAGGCCAAGTCCTGGCCCCCCCCCACCTAGCTAACCATCTGGCGTTATTATGAATCTTTGAATAGTTACGTCAGGCAAACCAACATTCATCAGTTCTGTGGGTATCTGAGCGATTTGTGCGACGGCAATTATGGGCAATAAAATAGAAGCGTGCATTTCGTGGGCACGCATTCGCTTGCATTGCGAATTAGCCCGGTCGGGGAGCTCAGGTAATTGATTAAAATATTGTCTAGGCCGAGGCTAGTTGAATCGGGTGTTAATTCAAAAGATATCAAATCTACTTGAAAACCACACAGTTCGATTTCGGATTTGTTGGCATTGCTCTCGACATGTTGAAATTCGCAACTAGTTTAGGCTTTGATCGATTGACAAGGCGTGCGCACAGTGTGTGTGTGTGTGTGTGTGTGTGTGTGTGTGTGTGTGTGTGTGTGTGTGTGTTGGGGTCAATAGCAAAGTCTTTAGATGTTAGAATCGAGAGGGTTATTATAAAGCTATGAATGTTGGTAATAGATAAAGCCAGTTAAATAACTTTTTGTTATTTCTTAAAGAGTTAACTTAAAGCTGTTGAGAATTATAAGACCAATTCGCATACTAAAAAGATTTAAAAACTAAACTTAACTTTTAAAGGCGTATGCTATTCAAATAAAAGCTTGATTTCCCTTAAAATTATTAAGAGTTAGGAGCTTACTACTTTCAAGTGAGTACTAGTAGATAAGAAGATTGTACTATTTTAAATTAAAAGAACCATGTGGAAGTATTACAAGTTACACCTGGGCTTAAACTAAGCTATTGTAGTCCGAGCTAGTTGTAATATGGCCTCGCAATAATACTAATAACAGCTATTATCTTAATAATTACACAACGGTAAGCTGTTATTAAACTGACCTGCAGCTGCGCTAGCTTCACATTCGCAGTTCGAAAACGTTTTGTTGTTACATTTATATATTGAAAACTGCAAAATAAGAAGGTATATATTGTTATGTATACCCGAATGCAAGTATTAGAAGACTTGTATCATTGTTTCTTAATAACTGGAATAACACGTTATTATATTGTACTTACATTGAACTAACTGTGCCTCCAACCATTTCGAGTCCTTGGTTATGACTTAAATAGGCATTACAGGATAATCGGTTGGAAATCTTCTCTAATAAACTATTCAGCACAACCATACTCTTAGCCCATAAATGTTTTTGTACTCTGCGGCTGGGAGTGCGCACTCGTTCGGTGGAAAAGAAAATGTAATTATATTTAGGAATCATAAATTGTCAATCACATAATGTGGCCAAGGGTATGGCTTTAGAATGCGATAAGCTCATTAATTTCTAGCACTTTGCGGTAGTTTTTGTGCCAAAAGGAAATTAAACGGACGTCTAGAGTGCGGACTCCTGTCATTTGCGGTTAGTGGCCGTTTGGCACTCCATTCACTCCGCTTGGCACATTCAGAGTTCATTCAGCACATTCAGTACATTCGGTGGTCAGTCATTAAAAAGGCTTGGGGCTCAGTTTAGTTCGTTTCTGGGTTTGTGGTTTTCAGAGTTGATTTGATTATGCTTTGGACTTTTGCATATTTTTAGTTCACATCGTGCAGTCAGGGTCGGGGTAGGGGTTGAGGTCGCTTCGGCTGATATGCAATGTATGGCATGCCCCTCACATTCAGCTAACGCCCTCGCAGTGCCCCTAGAGCATGTGTGAGTGCGTGTGGCAGAATGTTAACACTTGAATGCGGTTGGCCTGGGTGTGGGTGGTTTAATTACCGCTTGCTCTTGCGGTTTTAAATTTGGAGCTGGCAAATTGAGCATGAAATAGTAATAGAATCGGGACGTACGCATTTTGCATTGCGGAGGGACACGCTGCATGTACGCGCGGCTGGGCCACGTGCATAATTAATAAATAAATACACTGCAACAAAAACCTGCTGCCAGATACTTACTAGCTGCCGGTCGTCTGTGGTTGTGCGGGCATCGACGCTCGGCGTCTGTTTATCTAGGCAGCCCAACTATTTATAATGGAAAGGCTGCCAAATAAAAATGAAAATAGCTTTCTATCGTTTTTCGTATTCGTATCTATAAAATTGGCTCTGTCGCTGGCAGCGTCGCTGCCGTTGCCGTTGCCGCTGCTGCTGCTGCTGCTGCTGCTGCGGCCAGCATTGAGCTAACAAGCAAATTAACGAATCAGATAAATGTAGCTACTATGCAAAACAATGCCACGTACATGAATTTCTCTAGATGAACAAATTCAAATTTAACAATTTTACAGCATAGCATTTCCCGCACTGCCTGCAAAGCACCGCATATGCCACCCACACCCAATTGCACGCCTAGCCAACAGCCACCCCCACTCCGCCCCGCATAGCACCCGTGGCACCCGTGGCTATAACGCGCCCCGATCAGTTCAGCTAAAACAAATAAACAATAATTGGCTGCGTTCAATTCCTCAGTATTTCGTTTATGCGTTCCGTTTATTGCCAGCGCGACGCGTCGCTTCTGCCGCTGTTCTGGCCAACAACAGCAGCAGCGGCAGCAGCAGCAGCAGCAGCAGCAGCGGCAGCAGCAGCGGCGGTAACCAGCAACCAAGTCCGTATCCGCGTCTGCGTTCACGTTCGAATCCGCTTTGGTACGTCGATTGCGGCCCATTAAATGCGCCTCTTACGTACGCAATTCCCAATTTATTCTTTGCGCGTTCGAATTTTGGAAGCGCTACGCAAAAGTCGCTGGGTATGCGGGCATAGACTATAACATATACATATAAGACTATAAGATGTGTACAGTATATTGATGTTGTTTAAAAAACAAAAACTTTAATAATTGAACAAATATTACAAATAATTTCTATATCCGGCACCCATGGAAAGGCTTATTTCCGTAAAAAAATGACCCAAAGCTAAAAACCTCAGGAAATTTATCTCGCAATGGCAGCTATGCCCTTCTTCATATGAGTCGATCATTTAATGTGTACTTATAATCTAAATATTGCATTTGTTTTATTTATAGTAATGTGCTCTGTATTTAGGTACATGTATCTAATGTGTGTATATATATATATTTTATATATGGTATATTTATTTTGCAACTGTGCACATAATTGAATTAGCTTAAATTTTGTTGTACAATTGAGATCTGAATTTGTTCTAGAATCTTACATTTATTTACACTGTTTAGATTTCGGATCTTCCTGTTTGAAAATTTGCGTTCTTATGATGAAAGATGCGGGGCAAGTTTTGTTATATTGTAAGCGGAATATTGCTCAGGCAAACACATCAATTTTGTAATATATTTGGATCAAGGTTGTGTTTATGGGTTGGGTTTTTGTGTCCAAAGCGGAAGCAGTATTTTCTGTTCCAATTCAATCAGTTTGTTTTGCTTTGAGAGGTTAATTTGAAAATTCGGGAAATGTGTATCAATTTAAATTGTTATTGAATTGAATGATTTTCTTGTCTTGGTTTGTATAAAGTTTCCTTTCTATACCCTGAACCCAATCCACAAAAAGGGTATACTGTTTTATGGCAAATGTATGTAACAGGCAGAGTAAAGCATACACTCTCCCATAAAGATCAGCATAAAAAGTTGAGTCGATCTAGCCCGGCCCGTCCGTCTGTCCGTCTGTTCAAACGGTCTCTAGAGGCATGAAATTTAAAGCCTTGAGCATTTCATAAAGATGGGACTGTAAACGTCGATGTTTTTTAAGAATACATTTTCCATAGCGTGGAGTTAAAGGAAGAAGCACAGCAGCTGAATGTGTGTGAATATCTGTGCATAAGTGATTTTTGTTTATGTATGAGAAAAAGATAGCTAGGCTATCTAGAATTCAGGGTATCTTCTAGTCGGGAAAAAGCTCTAATTTTGTATATAATTTAGCTATTACCCTTGAGTTTAAACATGTTTTTCTTCTTTGATAATTTAATTTAAGGTATCCCCAAAGTTGCTAGCATTTATTAACCAATATATTTATTTATTTGGTTGACTAAAATACTGTGCGACTTCTTAGCGCATTCTAGAGCAGCATGTTATAGTCTTTTATTATAAGATTATTTTGTTTTCTAGGTCGTTAGAAATTTGTACGCATTGCACTTTTTCCATCAGACCATTTATTTTGACTATATTCTTACAAACGAAATCAAGCCCGGAACTGTGTCCACCTAATATTTGACTCCTATTCTCCATCACGGCGAAGAGTGTGAAGTCTTAATGATGTTCACAAAGATCTTTTAAAATTCGTGAATATTCCACAACTGCGTGTGGAATTTTCCGTCCTAGCCTGCAGCTATCAGATGGTACCTTGGGTGCTCTACATAGAAAATCCCAGCTTCTAAGCGCTAACGCTCTGGTGAGCACGGGCACAGGCCACCTGTTGTCGGGTAGCGGCTACAGAATTCGTCGTAGTGCGAAGGCGATGGGGTTTTTATGGCAAACAAATTTGCGCTTTGCTGTATCTGTTGCGCTTGATTGTTTATTTGTAGCTGCGCCTTTTGTTTTTAATGCTCCGACGATGGGCGTCTCGTACGCTTTTAATTATTTACTATATTTAGGCAGCGAGCCCGATAGAAGCTAACGATGCTACATACCGACGATCATACAGACGGCATTGTTGCTGTAAGTTTGCCGCAATTAGTCAGCAGCAGCAGCAGCAGCAGCAACAACAACAACAGCAGCAACAACTGTCGGCACCTGCACAAAAATGCAAAGTAAATTCTCAATTCTCGATTCTCAATTCTCAATCTACAATTTCTTATTGTAGTTCCGCCTACGTCGGCGCTGTGGCAGCTCTTCCGCTGCTGCTGTTGCTGTTGCTGCTGTTGCTGTTGCTGCTGTTGCTGCTGTCGACGCCGCTGCCGGCTGCCACCGGGCGGACTGGTTGGATTGGTGCCACTCGGCTGCCGTTTGCCATTCGCACAAGTTGCATGTTAGGCGCGTTTTTGGCTGCCTTCTCATTGTTATTTTATTTTCGGTTCGCGTGCGTTGTGCATATTTTAAAGTACTATTTTTTTTTTGTACTTTATTTTATATTGTACTTTTGGTCTCTCTCTCGCCAGAGTTGTTTAACTTGGTGCTGGCCGCCGTTGTTGGCGATCTTTTGTTTTAATTCCTATTTTATAATTTTCTTCATTTTTTTGGGGTTTTTTTTTTTTTTTTTGTTTTTGTTTTGTGTGGTGCCGTGCAAATTTCTCAAAGTTCGTTCAGTTTTGCGCGCCTCGTCGCTTTTCTAATTAAATGTGCGCGCTAACCCGTTAAATGGTTTTTGGCCCGTTTATTTATTTAAGCCGCAACTCTGATAACTGTTGGCCGTAGGTTTCGAGCTCTGAATTTTGTTTGTGCGCGGCTTTTGCGGTGTCTATACGAAAATTGCCAATAAATTAAATTGCATCAGTTTAATTAGAATATTTATAATTGTTTCGTTTTCGACTGCTCAGGAAATAACAACAAGCACAACCTTAAAAGCATTGACCGCAATTGCGTGTGGGCGTGGCCACCACTAGTGCATACAGGTTCGTAAATACGCTTTATAATTAGTCATTTACTGACGTCTGCCCTTTATAGTCACACACTCTCTCTCTCTCTCTCGCCTCCTAACACACTCGGCCACAGGCAACGCGTGTGTGGATTATGTGGTATCAGAAATCACCCGCTTTACATGATTTAATTTTCCAGGTAGTTATCTTATATCAGTGAACATATCATGGGATTAAACAGATTTCTTAAGCGCTCATAATTATAGGCTTGAGAGGGATTAAGAGAGAGAGAGAGAGAGAGCGAGAGAGAGAGAGAGAGAGCGAGAGAGAGAGAGAGAGAGAGAGAGAGAGAGGGAGTGAGGTTTAAATACCGCATTAAACTCAAAAGATTTAATCTGGCGAAGGTCGCCTTATATCGGCTGGTTAAATTATGTCGTATTAGCGGCTGTTAACCGGCTTTGTCCGGGCCAAGTGGTCACTCTTCTACTTTGATTTCCGCTTCGTGGCAAATTTAAATGTATACTTAATAACTTAAGCCTCGTCTTCCATACCTTTTGCTTGTATTTCTGTTCGAAGGCTGGGCATTCTTACTTAAGGAATAAATTTCTTTACTTGCATGTCGGGGGAGGAAAAACGAGTTTAATTTAATCTCAATAATTTAAAATATGCATGTACACCTGTTTATATATATACATATATATCTGTTTCCTATTATTATTTAATAAGCTGTGGGAAATATAGTTTTGGAGTCCACAGTTCGCTGAATGCTTGTACTTGGACTGTATTAACGCGGCGAGCTCTTTTCAATATAAGAGATATATTCTGCCCATATTTACAACTCAGCTATCTTGATACGAGCACGAGGGATATAGAAATATATACAAAATTGAACATCTGTTGATAGCTGGCATCAATTTACTGGCCGCTTGTTGTGCGGCTCACAATACGATAATATGCTACTTAACGGGAGTGATAAATTATGGAAGGAACTCTGCAAAGTTTGGACAATACGTTAATTTTGAACGGATGGAGACTTAGACTGATGACGTTTCCGCCGGCTGCGCTGCACTGCATTTGCTTGGGGCAGCTGACCCAGCAGCAGAAAATCAATTGCCAGACGCCATTTGACAGCTGCATGAGTTGGTTAATAGAGGGGTTGGGCGGTGGTTAGACATGCTTACCTGCACTCTCGACGGCGAGCAGGAACCACGATAACGAGGCCACAAAGCGCATAAAGTAGAAAGCATCGTTAATCAGCCAAGTGGAAAGTCCGGGACAGTAATGGAATATGAATTTAGCCCACGCCCACTTGGAATGGCCCAGAGCGTGCAGCGCCTGATCGAATATGTTAAAAAATGGCTGCCATATGGAAAGCAGCACATAATCCACCACAAAGAGCATTACGAACAGCTCGAGCAGCAGCAGGAGCTTCCGCACCACTGGCGCGTACCGTTTTAGCCGCTGCGGTCGGTACTGGGCCAAGGTTAGCAGCAGGCCGTTGGCAAAGAATATGGTCGACCAGTTGAGGGCCTGCGGCTCGGGCAGCTCATCGGGCAGCTTCTTGGCATTTAGCATTCGTATTACATGCCACTGGTTCCACTGCAGCAACAGATCCAGCGTCAGCAACAGCATCGATTCATAGAAGTCTCGCACCAACTCCTCCGCTCGCATCTGCATTCGGCGCATGCGCAACTGTGTCATGGCACTTGAGGGGTTTCGTCGAATTTGGAATGAGGAATACGGAATGGACAATTCAGAGTTTGGAGTACGCTATAGATGCTTTGTGTTTGTGGGAGTATCGAAAGATTTTGTGTGATTTGTCGGAATATACAGAAATAAATACATTTGAGAGTTGAAAGTCAGACTTTAAGCCACCCTTGATATCTCTGGCAGTGACATTGACCCCTCTCTACATCCACCCTTCGTATAAGGAACAAGACAACCAGTCGAGTAAAATATGTTGGCACAGCGAAAAGTAAAATCAGGAAAAGTTTTGAGAATGCGTTAAAGGCCCATTTGCAAAAAATAAAACATTTGTCCGTATATTCTGGGAAAAATAAGAGATTTTCTCAGGGAAAGGATTTCCGAAATCCTGTCAAACTTAGAGAATTTTATGTCTCAAGCAAACGAATAGATTTCTCAATTAACGATTAGGGCTGTAGTATTTTAATTTTTATTTTGGACTGATCTCTTATTAAAGCCTTCATTACGTTATTGGGCATGGAATGTAATAAATATTGTATCGTGCATATTTTTATTTAAAGTTTTAACTCAGGGTCTTTCCGCTTGCAAAACGTAGGAAAGATTACGCATGCATTTTGCACGCACGTGCTGGTTCAGCTCGCAGACTGGGAACTGGCCACGAAATCAATTTCTCTGTCAAATCAGCAGACTGAATGAATAGGGGGCGCCCATATTTGGCTCCACATTCTATGCCCGCCCCTACCATGCTAAGCTGCCATAATACATTCTCATAGTAAAAAGAGCGGAAAGGACACCCTAATCCTCCCTCTTTAAGTCAGAAACTACAATTCCCGACTTTCCTTTGGCTTGCTGGCTGTTTCAATCAAAGCAGTTGTTGTCATACCCTGTACTCACATGGGCTCATATGCAGTCCCACAGAAATCACATTTCATTCAACATATTACAAGCTACAGACGTATATCCCACGAATTTCAATATCATTTTATAGCTATTAATATGTAATATATTTCTTATCTATTTGTATTGATAATACCCTATAGTATCCGGATTACGAATAGGGTATGTGTTGGTCGAGCAGTCTCGCTTTGAGTATTCTAGCTTATTGTTATTGCTCTTGTTTTTCGCATTTTCTGCACAACAAACCAGCAGACCCCAAAGTCACCGGCGTCAAGTCAACAAAGCCTGCCACCGACTACAAAAATATCCATGGCAACGGCTGCCCAAAAAATAAGGTGCACCACACAAAAATGTTCGAAGCATACGCATTTAAAACTCCTTTGATATCTCTCATATGCGAATTGCCTATTTTAATGTTCAATTTTTATTTAAGAATCTTATCTAATATAATTATAGAAATGAAATTCACCCAATAAGATCTTTCATATATAACACATAGCATATGCATTTTTCTTAACACTAGCACATGCAAATTTGGATATGATAAGAGTGAGTTATAAGAGAGAAAACGTAACATAAATACATTTATTTGTATTAACAAGGAAAATAAATACAATTTGAATAAAATGTAATAACTTCATCTCTGTCGGTTCAATTATACATTTCTTTTATGCTAGTCTCATACTCTTCTCTTACCATGTTACCAATATATCAAATCTATTTACTCAATAAGTTATTGATTTCATATTACAAATATAAGTATAAAAAATAAGACACTGTAATTAGAATAAAACTTACTGTGTTTATACGTAAAAACGCAACTTCAATTGTGACATAGTGTAGTTGTAGTTTGAAATCGACACATTTGTCGCCTGTCAATCGTCAGTTGTGCTGTTTAAGTGTGTGCGTGTGAGCTTCTGTGGTTGCCATTGATCCTATCCATTGCCTTCATCTTGGGTTCTGCATTTGGAACTGGTCGTCGTCATATTGTGTTTGGCAAATCGTTTGCGATAAAGCCAACTTCATAATGTCTCTGTGTAGGCCAGGGTGGGGGCGGTGTGTAAACGTGGTCGGGGAGCATAAAAATGCTAAACCAGCGCTATGCTGGCGTCGCAACGACGCAAACACCCGACTTATATGTCCATATAGTAATGTGTGTGTGTGTGTGTTTGTTTGATTGTGCGTGTGAGGGTAGAAGACGGTTGGGCGCAGTATAATGCGCGTTATCCTTGATTGCCTGCTTCGATAGCAGGATATGAGGCGGCTGCAAACAAGCCGCACAATGCTTCTTCTTCTTTTTATACCCTGTACCTATTGCAACTCGTCGGTCCTGATCAATTATATATATATTCTCCATTAACAACAAAAGGCGGGTTTTCCCAGCTTTGTTCGTTGCTCGGATCGATCTTAGTCTATTAACTAGATGTTGAAAATTTGGAAAGTAGGATCGAGCTACCGATAGTTCGCCCCGTTTTCATGCAGTTGGTATATATTTTTCACCATATCTTAGAGCTTAAGAATTAGAGATTTCATATATGTTGATTTCCATATGGAATTTACAGATTCGGTTGATTTCTTTAAAAAAAGTATTCCTAAGAGTTTTTCATATGACGGCAGGGGGTATTTCCTAGTCGAGCGCCACAAGCCACAGTATTTATACCTTTTTTTTAGTGTGACAATCGTGATTTTGCTCTTTTTTTTGTTTGTGGCTCCTGTTCCTTTTTCTTGGCCTTTGGCCTGTCTGCTTTGTGCTGCTCTTGTGCTCATCATCATTTGCCAAAAGGGCAAGCAAAGAACTCATTGGGATTTGATTGGTGTAACACACGGCTTACAAGTTGCCAACTTGCCAAGACTTACCAAGTTGCTGACCTGTTCCATCCCGGGGCTAATTGATTTTAGAACTGCAGACTGTCAATGATGTTCGGCCAGGAGGTAACACTGTGGACATGCCCAACTAAACAACTAAGCAACAATTTTTAATTGTGCCCGGGCTAAGTTGCCGTCATCGTCGCCATCATCATTGGCGAGGCTGGGGCCAAAGGCAAATGAGCGAGCGCCCCGAGAAATATGAACGAGGTCAATGATTGTTTACACAACACTCGAATGCTGTTTACTCGGAGCCATCCAGCGAACTAGGCAAAGAGCTAGGGATTGGGTGAGACGGCGAGACGGCAATACGGGTCGACAGGGCGACAGGGCGACTGAGCGACTGGGGCACCGGATGACGGGGAAAACAGAGGCTGACTATGGGCGTATGGGCTCGCCCACATAATGCCGCCGCTAGACACCTTCCAGAGCTACGGCCTGTGGTTTGGCGAAGGGCCCCCACCTTTGGTTAGGGCCACTTGGCTCACATGTAGTTAACTACCTCTCGCTGACATGCCCAGCAGCACGTGTGTGTTTCCCTCTGTGTGTGTGTGTACATACGTATCATAAACATAAATATGTGCTTATATAGATTTAGCTCTTGCAACACTTACCCGCCACGACACGGCCCTAAATAAGTAGCCTGATTACTCCACAATTGACTGGATCAGGTGTCATCTGGTCATTAAAAGGTCACAAGCTATTTTATATGTGCCTTAAAATGTTTAAAAAACTCGCTGTCTAATGAGTGGCATCTTCTGTCTTGGTTGCAATGGCAGAAATAAATCGTGTATGTAACGATATACGTTTTCTAAGTTAGACGAACTAGAAAAGTATTAGAGATAAAGAGAATATTCGTATATGCTCACATTCCATATATTAGTTCAAAATAAGTCAATAATTTGTTCGATAAATTTCCCCATATTCAAGATATCGGTAAATATCGATTTTGAAACTTAGCATAGCTCGAAGCTTATATGGAAATTATTGTCCGAGAAAGAATATTTCGCTTCTTGGATATCTTCCTCTGTTCCCCACAAACTTCGAATAAATCCTATTTTTAAAAGTAGACCCCTGCACTTTGGGATATGCATACAATTGGGTGCTTCTATTCTTGCGAATAATATTCTTCCACATTTTTCCTCAGACCTACGTCCTGCTTTGTCTTCATCAAAGAGAGGGAGATAGAGAGAGAGAGGGTAGACTATTTTTTAATATTGATACGGCTCAATAGTTTGGCATATGTCTGGCTATTAAGATTTATTTAAATGTGCGCTCGATCGTTGCTTACAAGATGCTGCACGTGTTTCGCCGTCCGCCATGTCAATCAAATGAACAAAGGTCGCTTGGGTGCAAAGTTGAACGCAGGTCTCGAAGTCCACAAATGCGTGCTGCAACGTTGAGGGGTCATTGTAATTGGAGGGCGTGACAATTGTGACTGTAATGAAACAAGAAGAAGTAATGGCAAATGGCGCAATCCTTTCGCGCTTTGTCTATTCCGAATGTTACGTATACGCCATGGTTAACGCTCCACGTTGAGCTCATCGCCTGGGTTTGACATTAAAGTGCTGCCAGTGCTGGCGCCGGCATTTGCCAAGTGTCTGAGCTCTCGCCCCATGTTCAGTCGCCAGTTCGCTGGCCAATTTACAGTTATCCACACACTTACGCACCCCCGACCAACCCATTCAAGCTCCTGCACGGCTGTCCGCACAGGGAGCATATTGCGCTTGGCTGTGTGCGTGTGTGTGTGTGTGTGTGTGCTATCATCGCTTAAACCACTTTGCAGTGCGTCCATTCATTTATTTCCATTTCGCGGGCATATCTTCATAATAATGTTCTGTCTGGGCTAATGCGGCCACGCCCATAGGATTCGTTTGCATTGCCGTCGAGTCATTTGCCAAATTTAAAAGCCGCACGCAACAAATTAAATAATTAGGCGCTTAATTATTTTCGGCAAGTATTTTTTACGTGCAGTTAATTTGGTTCGTGGCGTAGAGGGTGGGGGCGAGGGTGTTTGACTGAGTCTTTGAAATCTTTAATTGTATTTTAATTTGAATTTTACAATATTTGAAATGCCAGATAAACAGACAGACAGCTGGCCAGGCATTTAATGCGAGCCCCGCATTTATTGGTAGAAGAAAGAGACAGCAAATCTGTGTGTGTGAGTAATATATAGTAAATGGGTGGAATGAAAAGCAAAGCATATTAATCCATTTGAGCTTCTTGGAGCCAAATTGATTTCCGAGCTCAAATGTTGCCACACAAAACACAATATGATCTAAATTTTAAATATCATTGTTTCATTGAATTTACTCGTAAAAATATACATTCACACAAAATCAAACACATATATACACAAAAGTATCTGCAAGCTGATGTGCCACGATTTCATTCTCTA